CCCCAAAACCCCAAAACCCCAAAACCCCACACCATCAATTCAAAATTGAAGGCAAACAAAAAATGACCTAATTAATTTGGAGCTTCGAAATGGGTGTTAGAAACTATTATGGGAGGAAGAAAACCCCGCATTTATTGGAAGACCCTGTGCGATTTGATTATCAAGAATGCAGGAATGTCCCCTTCTCTCTTCACTTGAGACTGAGTCAACGACTTCTTTGCTTTCTTCTAGAGATTGCTGTGAATTTGGGAAGCTTTCACCTGAAAAATAGTCATTTTCAATTTGAGACAGAGGTATGTCATTGGACTGTGGCTGATATAGTTCTTGGGTTTTCTTCCATTCTTGGAGAACTAGTTTGAAGCAGAGGTAATTCACGACAGCAAGAGCTAGAGTGATGGTGAGTTTAACGCAGAGAGGTGTCCAATCGATGCCTGGATCCACAGGTTGTTCAGAGAAACTTTGGATGGTCTGATCATACTCTGAGCAATTTGAGGTATCGTTGCCTAAAAAAGTAGGCATGAAGTACTGTCCAATTCTCATGCGAATACAGTCTGATTTCTCTATATAAATGGCCAATCCTTCAGTAGCAATGATCTTGTTAATAACTCCAAGTTCTTTCTTTCAGTATCTTGATCCAAGCTCTTGATACCCATAGTATAACTCGGTCATCCAACTCTTAGAAAAATATCTGAATTCACTAAAGACTTTGGTCAATACGTATGCAGGAGTTAATCAGCTCAGACTGTCACAATGGAAGATGCTCAGAATTACTATCACCAACGCATTTGAGAACCCTAAGAGTTCTTTGAACGGGAAGTTGTACTCTTGGAGTCCGTTAAACAAAACCCCAAAGGGGTCTGAGGAATGGCACAAGGTACTTCATATGCCGATCAAATTTCACCAATTTTTGCTCTATATTCAAATCTGGAGGGGTTCGAAACATTACTAGCTGCGGTGCTACCCCAGTTTGAACAAAATGTAAAAAAGCCAGGATAGCAACAAATTTAAGGAATTTGGTCATCTTTATTTATAATAATTAGTTCAGAGCCGATCTTTAGATTGGGGTTTTGGGGTTTTGGGGTTTTGGGGTTTTGGGG